TCTCTATGTAACTTTATTCTTCCCATTCTCCACTGCATTATTGCAGTGTCTGTCACTGTATTTATGTAATGTTATGTGTTTACTGATGAGCTGAAAAGCTTTAAGTCAGTAAATTAATTTAATTGAATTGTAACCACATATTCATCTCAACATTATTGATCATTATAACATTAAGGTTGTTAGTTTGTCATGTCAAATACGTGAGCTTGAGCACAGTACGGAAACAATTGGACAGTTGTTCGACACTATGCAATTTACAACAGATAAACAAGAAAATGATATATGTGTCTTGAAACAACAGACAGAGCGATCAACCTCCGATGCGGTGATACGTGAGGTTTCAAAAGCGAGTTGTGAAAGAGACGAGCTGAAAGCGATTGTTACCGATTTGCAATGCCGCTCGATGAAGGCAAATCTTGTGTTCACGGGGCTTAGTTAGATGTGGATTTTAGCTTTGAGGAATCAACAGATGTAATTAGGGGGTTGTCTCGTGACAAGTCGACTGGTGTGGATATGTTACTTAACGGATACATAATTGAATATAAGGATATTTTTTCACCTGTTTTGATCAGATTATTTAATTCTATATTACATGTAAGATATTTTCCAGCGTCCTGGGCGCAGGGTGTTATTATACCTCTCGATAAAAAGGGGGATAAAAACAATGTCAATAATTACTGGGGAATTACATTAGTTTAAACAGTATTTTATTCAATATATGGCAGTGACAAAATAATACAAAATCAACACAATAAGTACTTATATCAATTCGTCTCCTTATTAAAAAACTGGCAGTAGGACGGCACTGTTACATATATTTTAATAGAATAACAGACAAAGAGAAGAATAGGAAATCAGGGAGGGGAGGGTGGAAGGGGTGCATCAGGAAATGATAGAAAGTGGTTACGAAGAGAATAACGAGAAGAACTGCATTACTTAATTGAATCTGGTTGGAATGTGATTCATGAAAAGGTAACCCTAATGAGCTCTATATAAGGATGCATTAAATACATTGGAAATCTCTAAATTGCCTTACGTTGATTCCAATCAAAAAGTATACTGATATCCTGCAAAATGCAAGAGTGTTGTAGTCTATATTAATTCCAGTATCAACAAGACTCACAAAGTCTAAATATCATACTGGCATGTCACAAGTATTGTCGAACAACATAGGTTTCAAAGTTAATGTACATTGTTTAAACAAACGCAATAATTACATAAAAATAAAATAAAATAAATAAATCTTGCACTAAAATCGTTTCGACTTACAGATAAAAAAAAATTGAGTCAAACATATTTAAGTTATATTGATCTGGCATATCAGGATTTTCCATGTTACATGTAAGATATTTTCCAGCGTCCTGGGCGCAGGTTGTTATTATAACTCTTGATAAAAAGGGGGATAAAAACAATGTCAATAATTACTGGGGAATTACATTAATTAGTCATCTAGCTAAGCTATTTACTTCTTGTTAAAAAAAGATTATTAGAATGGAGTAAAAGGGAGGATGTTGTCACCGATGTCCAACTTCGTTTTAAACCTGGGCTTGGTACCAGGGATGCTCATTTAACACTACATAGTTTAATAATTCATCCAATAAAACAAAACAAAAGGCTGTATTGTGTATTTGAAGATTACAGCAAGAATTTTGATAGTGTTACACGTGATAATCTTTGGAATAAACTTTGGAAAAGTGGTGTTAGCGGTAGACTGCTAAATGTAATTATATCTATTTATGATAATGTGCGTTCTTGCATAAAATTAAATGGTAAATTATCTGCTATGTTCGATATACATGTTGGTTTATTACAAGGGGAATCGTTATCGCTCATGCTTTTTTCATTATTTGTTAATGCTACGGAGAGTGAGTTTATAGATTCCAATTGTCAGTGTTATGAATTACAATTGATTAATCTATCTATGTTAATGTATGCCGATGACACAGTTTTGTTTTAGGAAGATATGAACAATCTTCAGTATATGCTAGATTGTCTGCCATGTTACACTGATGAATGGAATTTAACTGTTAATTATGATAAAACAAAAAATATTGTTTTTAGAAATAGCAAACGTTTAATGGCAAGTCCATTGAGATAGTGGACACATTTTGTTATCTAGGATTAGTTTTTTTATTATCACGGAAGATTCACCGTAGCACAAAATACATTGGCATATCAAGGTTGGAAAGCTTTTTACCTTTAAAAAAGAAGAATGAAATATTTGATCCTTAACACTGAAGCTTAATTATCTTTGTTTGGTACATATGTAACATGCATACTGAACTATGGGTGTGAAGTATGGGGTAATTGTTTATCACCGCAAATTAAAAAAGTCCATCTTCTCTTTCTTAAAGATTTATTAAACGTTAAGAAAACAGTCAATAGTTTTATGGTTTACTTTGAAATAGGGAAGTATTCTTTACATATAAAGCGCAAAGTACCTATTATGAACTATTAGATAAATATTTTGAATACAAATAACTGTGTACTAAAATCATGTCATGATGCACTACTTGAGCCTAATGTGAAAAAGCCAAATTGTAAACTTAACTGGGTTTATCATGTCAAACATGATTTATATATAATGGGTTTATCATGTTAAACATGATTTATATAGAATGGGTTTTAATCATATCTGGGATGTTCAATATGTTCAAAGTGAAAAATCAGTTTGTGGAAATGTATACTCAACGTCTGCATGACGTATTTATTCAAGAATTACGTTGTGCGTTTGAAACATCTTCTAAATGTTATATATAAACATCTTGTCGTTACTTTTAATACTCAATTCTATTTAGTAAAGCCTTTAACTTCTATTACCAAAAACATGTTGAGTCAGTATCGCATGCAGGCGCATTCCCTTAACATCGAATCTGGACGTTATAACGGGGTTCCGAGAGGTCAAAGAATATGTTTAACTTGCGACAAAAATGATATATAAGATGTGATACATTTCATTCGTATTTGTCCTGCTAATTCTATAATGAGAAACACATACATTAAGCAATATTACTACCGACGCCCCAAAAAAACCCATTAAAACATTACGTAGATTTTTTATGTGATAAATGCTAGTATGGTACTGTCCTCCGCCATCTTGATAATGAAATATGTTTTGTGTTCTATGTATACATTAACCTATATGATGTATTGAATTCGGAAATAAAAAAAAACCACTTGAACATTCATTAAAAAAATATGGCTCTTCACGTGATGTCCCTTTAAACATCATGTGTATAACAAACAAGAGGAGATGGACACCGTGATGTTTGGACAACGAACAGCCGTCGTTCGTCATTGTTGTCGTTTATTTACGTACGTGTACTAGCTGGACGGTTAAACGGGGCATTTATTTACTTAGTCTTAGGTACGTTCCACTTGAGCACGTTGTGAAAATAGTCCATATGCTGTGTTTGTGAAGGTATAATATACTCAGTAATATGTGCTGAGTAAGTCAGAAGCCCGATCTACAACTAAAAATTGATTTCTAGCATGTTAAGGTCTCCACGGATAGAAGAGAATGTATAAAGAGCACGTTGTGTAAAATGAGCATGTTTGTTAAGATTAGCTGAAGAATGACAGTGGCCGTATTTACACGTAACAACCTGTAATTGATGCGGAGCAAGGTCCACGGAAAATAAAAACAAATCGGGGGAAAAGAAAAATGGCAGTCAGCGAGTTAATGGGATGATTGTTTGGAGTGAAAGTTATGTAAGAATTTGACACAGAAGTTGGTTTATATTTGGAGCGTGTAGCCCTACATTTAGTACGAGATATAGTCAGTTGAAGAGATATTATAAATACTTTGTAAATGTACTGAGGCATGACACAGATGAGGCAGGAAGGTGGGAACCCCCTGATTGGCCAGCTAGGCACCGGATACACCACTAATGAGCATGTGAGGGTAGCAAACATTTCAAACCAATAAGGGGAGAGAACCGTTTTTATTATAAACAAGCAATAATTAAGATAATTAATTAAGGTCGTCATTATTCAAAAAATGTTCGAATGGACCCCGTTTATTTTTCATCGGAATAAACTACTTTCTTTGTCTGTCCAAAATGGAATGGAGTCTTTAACGTGGCTCCAGTATATATGATGTTTTATTAGTATAAGAAAATGGTTTAAGAATAGTCCATTCTTTGAATTTCCAAAAAGGATATGTATGTCTTTAAAATCAATATCGTCTCTGTACGTAACAGCATTGAGTAAATATGTGTTCCAATGTTAATAGTGGCGTCTCAATGCTCTCTGCCAAATGCAATGCTTGTTTTGTTGATTTTCATACGTTGAGCATGATTTATGATAAAATACAGCATCATTTTATAGCTCATTTACCAATTAAGGACTTTTATTTCGATGGGTAAGTGGTAATGTTTACCTGAGGATTGATATTAACCTCGATTATGTCTCGGTTAACATCACACTTTTCATGTTCATGTAATGTAACCACATATTCAACTCCACCAAAGTCCGTATTATATGCAATTGATCATTACAACATCCTGTGTAAGAGATATTACGGCCAGAGATCATGAAAAATTGAGATAAACTCAAATATCCCACAGGAATGATTGATTATTTTTCTCCCACGCTCTCAACCGTAAAAAGAGTTAAAACGTTGAACCCAGTGCACATGGCCATCATCAGGGGCTCATGAATAATAGCGCTTGTAAGCTGTCAGGCTCTCAATCTCCCATACTCCTTATCATGATAGGTTGTTAACGTCATATTTGGGCTGTTTATAGAACTGGAAAAATAAGTTCACCTACTAGTGACGTTTGGAAAAAGACGTCCTCATAACGCTGCTTTTAAGTAGCGGACGTTATGACCAGAATAAGACGTTTTCCGAATGTTCTCCGGACGTCGTGTGCCCACCGGGATAGATGTAGCCGATCTGCGTTCATACCGGTGTGGAAAAAAACCGCCGTTCAATCCCTATTTGTATATGGACATGACATTTAACTATTTTAAAAGCATAACGATTTCATATTTTTCAGTTACTACGATGATTCGTCATTCCAGCACATCGCAACGGAACGTTTCATTGAACAGATCTCTCCTGATTATCTGGCAGTGTTTGATAATGAAAGCTTCAACAAGATGGTCCAGAATATCTCCGCTTCGGACTTTGCCGCCTCTGTATCGAAAACCTTTTTATCATCATATAAAGCATACTTATCTATTAACGACGTCACCGATCTGAAAAGGATTGCAACAGGTGCTGATTCTACACAAGCACTTGCTCTAAATAAGGAAATATATTCACTGGGAGACATTATAAAGGTTCGAATCATGCTGTTTGACGGATATGGTAAACCTCTCACAAACGGAGGAGATATTCTTAGAATTTGGCTAAAAAGTACATCAAAGAATGCCAGCGCAAATGGTTACGTCATCGATCATGGGAACGGTTCATACACAGGTCACGTGAGGGCTTTATGGACAGGTAGTTGCGTCATAAAGACGTCGATAGCGGCAACCAAAGAACACATTGCGATCGTTCATAAATATATAGAGAAACACGGATTGCTTCATGATATGGTTGCCGGATTTAACAAAAATAACATTCAAGAACGAACTCCGTGCAGTGTTAAACCGAACGTGTTTGGACTGGCTGATATGTGTAACTTTACAGAGGAAAATTACGGTCTCCACTGGTTTTGTGGGAAACCCAAAAATTCCAATCTTACTTGCCAAGACTGGAAGTTTACTAAAGGTCACCGTACCGACCATTTGAGTCAACCTCAGAGAACAATTGCAAGGTAAATAATAACATGTTTAATATAAGCTTAAAACCACTAATTATCATACAAAAATACAACGTTTAGGTAGCCGTATGGATAGTATGATACCAGGCCAATTCAATCGTTGATATACTTAACAACTATGTTAAATGTAATATAATATAGTGAACATCCTCGATATCCAGGGGTTATGCTCACTTTCGCTCTCTACACTCTTGGAGTATGTCATAGCAAAATCGAAAGCTCAATGTGCAGCACCTTATGGATGAGACGAGAAAACTAGCTGTCAGGGTTTTCTTTTACCTGACACCAATCATATAGCTAGCCGCGTACCTTCATTTTTGCTATGACATATTGCAGGGGTGTAGAGAGCGAAAGTGAGCGTAACCCCCGGATATCGAGGATGAGTGAACAGTAACAGTGTTGAAAATACGGCTGACTACAAACTAAACCATACTAGTGCTAGAAAATGTAAAATCAACATATACTGGGAAAGTGGAAATTATCGCGGTTGAAATGGTCGCGTTTTTCGGGTTGAGTAACCTAAGCGTGAAAACATCAACACGCGAATATTTATGTATAGAATATTTCGATTTCAGAGTTTTTGCCAGCGTGGAAATGTCCACACAGCGGTTAGTTTAACTTTCACTTTACAGTATTTTGTATATATTCTGAGTTTCCCATCCAAGTTAATATCTCGTAGAAAACATGTTTTACAAGCAAATTAGATGCAATGTAACGAATGTACAATGAAGATGTCAAATTGTTGTTTTTTTAAAATTTATTTGACAGGCTCCACAAACACATGTTGTTGAAGAAAAGTCCTGCAATCACTATAAAGGGAGGTAAGTACAAAGTTTTCGTCGTAATAGTTTACATTTTAGTGTACACGTGGCACTATTATTTTTTCCCCTAAATGAATGCCAGATTTAGGGGCCTGGGAACAACTTTACTTGCTGAATACCTCTGTCAAACGAAAAATTGCAGACGATGGAATAGAACGTTTTCAAACATATTTTCATGCATTTTTCATGAAACAGTTTAATCGCCTCAACGTTTGAGGCCTGTGAACCTTTCCTATTCGGCCTTGGAAGATATCACGCCTGGTTGACACACAAAGATTCATATTTCTGACGGTTTCTTGAAAATGTTAATTTTGCAATTTTACAATCTTAAATCATCATGACCATGAAGTTACTGCACCCCTTCGGGGCCTCATTTCCTCACTCACTCGCGTCATGCTCAACAGCCCAGTACATATCAGAATATGTTTAAATCAGACCAATTCAATGTTAATCAATATCTAATGGCCATATATATGGTATAAAGACACTGAAATGATATATTTGTGCATAAAAAACGCTAGCCGTTCATAAACTTTGTGTAAAAAAAAATAGTTTACAGTGATACACAAAAATGTTTTCACAGGCATTTGCTGAAGTGACAGAAATGGCGTTTTAAACATGAACTACCTCGAACAATGACACATTTATTGATAAATTCATTATAACGTATATAAAGCATTAAGCAAACAACGTATATAAATACTTGATAAAACGATGGCACGGTCCAGTGGCTGGCACTCTTCCCTTTCACCAAGAACGACGTCATTATTTACAGTGTTTATTAGTGTAAGGAACCACGGGGACCTGATAATTTGTTACAGATATATTTGGACCTGACCTAAGGTGTTCAGAGTACTTTTACATTTTTTTCAGGGTTTAGATCGACTTTCGGTAAAAATGTGACACCCCAATGATCATATATACGAAAGGGAGGAAGGCTCTCGATGTCGAAAAGTCGACCCTACCTAACTGTCTTGCATTAAAAACAACATGTCTTGTTAATTTACGAGAAAACGCTTAGTACCGTTGGAAAGATGGAGGATTATTCTTTTAAAAACCTCCTATATGCACGTAAAATGTATTTTCCTTCCGCCGTTTCCTCCAAAAACACACGCCATTTCAGAGTTTTAAAGTTTATCGCAGTCATCGTGCCATTTTTTTTAAAATATTAATGAGGTTGATGTCAGCGCGTGCCGAAACATGTTGGTTGGTTTCGAGAAAAAAATAGCTGCGCTTCCAGCCAATCACACTACAGGTCTCGGCACGTGCTGACCTCAACCTCGTTAATATAAAAAAGTGGCACGATGACTGCGAAAACCTGGGATTCTTAACAGTGTTAATGAGTGTAAGGAACGACAACTATGGGTAGAGATTTCAAGATGGAGGATGTGGGTTTCTCCGGGTACTCTGGTTTCCGCCCACAAAAAGACTATGTGCTACCATTCCGGCCATTAAGAGTAATTTAAATAAGTCAATTGAATTTCTGTTATAATTATTGAAAAATAAGTAAAAAGTTCTCTGTCCAAAAATGTGCCTATTTACTTTTCATCATTATAGGTTAAGGCTGTAGATGAATTTGAATATGCTTTCACAGGTTTCCGAAAAAGATTGTAGACATCGTAGACAAGTTTAACTATAATTTTATTCATTTATACACTTGTTTTTTCAGATGGTGATTACGTTCTCCCTCCCGATCTGCCTTGTAACAAGAGACCAAATAAGGAGACATGGTACGAGGAATCCCCTGTTGGGTTTTATTACAAAAACAAATGGCACAATCGAGGCTGCGATATTACGTTCGTACCTTCCAAGGTGTCGTATGAGAAATGCCTTCGTGATCAGTACCTGTTTTTGATTGGTGATTCAAATATTCGCTCATGGTTTGATCACATCAAACAAACGGTAACTATGGTGACAGCGAAACACGAAGGACAGACGGCGAGCCGATGGTTCAGTTTAAGGAGAGCTGAGCGAAAGGACTTGAATCTCACTCTGCTTTGGGCCGTCCACGAATTGCCTTTCTATACCGGGGAGGATTCACCACGGGAACACATCAAGTCGGTAGCGTGGCATATAGATCGTATTCCTGAGAGGAAAAAGGTCACAGTTGTGATACATAATATGATGCACATAGCGAGAACTACACCGTCTGAATTCCGCTTACATGTTCGCGATGTAAAATTTGCGATTGGAAGACTCTTTAAACGAATACCAGAAGCAAGGGTGTTTGTCAAAGGCCCTCATTCAGCTACTTTTATCGATCTCCTAAAACCGCTTGATTTTATTAGAAAGATTCATGAACAACTATTCTATGAAGAGTTTGGGGAATTCCAAGATAAGATTACTTATTTAAACTATTGGGATATGACAGCTTGTATAGAAAACGTCAACGTTCATCCTAGTCCTGCGACCGTTAGTGACATGATCAATTACTTTATGTCGTATTTGTGTGGAGTTTAGAGACGTTTTATTTTGATTCATTACAAAAGAGCGCTTGTCGTCTTCCTCCGTTGCCTTCATGTAGATTGTGCTTTTATCAACTATGGTGTCTCCTCAAGTTTGGTAATTGATTTTCTATTCTCTCCACGTTCGATTCGCCCTTGCGTGTTGACATTCGAAGTTATATTTTGGTCGATTTTTTTTAGCTCGCATAGTTTGTAAAGTGAAATTACACTTCAGAGTATATTTTATTTATTTTCAGTGTGATATAATTGAATTCGTTAGAATTATCATCCTGTGATTGCAATATGTTGAATTTTAAAACCCTGACTAACGCCCAGGGCCCGAGGGGCGAGTACAAAAGGGGTAAAATTTGCAAAAATGTCAACAATCTTCTTCTCTAAGCCTAAATTTAGTGAAATAAAATACTCTTCATGGATGAAATAGTCTTAAGGGGCTTTATGAAATGTGTGAATTTCGTTCCCTTTGGTTAACAGCCCCTCCCCTGGGAAGGGAGTAACGTTTACTATAATTGGTATTTTGGCTATTATAACGGTACCGATATCCCTGTACCATTGCTACCTGTTGGAGTTACGCTCATCTACTTTCTTTGCACACCTGGAATATATGACAAAATTAAGGTATGTAGTTGACGATGTAATTGGGACCAGGTTTTAAAAAAACCTGACCAATTGCTAAGCCGACACCTGTATCTTGAAGAGCCATTCAATTTTACCGTTACGCTACCGCGCGTTTCTTTCAATCAAAGGATCGAACTAGTCTAATTGTATCATTATTGAAGCCTTCAATTTTGTCATGACGTATTCCTTGCCGAACAAATAGCTCTACAGTGCTTACGTTACTGTTTTTAACATAAATGACACTAAATAAATTTCCTTGTATCTTGTATTCCAGGCTGCAGAGAACTTAATGATCGTAGTTATTTGAATTTCGAGCATGTTGATTTCTATCATATTGACACCATCCTCTCCATTTCGCTATGGATACACTAGATATTACTATTGCTATCGACGTGATACGTACCTTGCTAACGATAAATTTGATGTTGTCATCGCTACAAATAATATAATCCTGTTTTCAACAAAGACGAGGGACATTGGATACAAATAACGTTACATAAATTTTATGTTAAACTACTTGCGAAAATGCAAATGTTTTTTCTTAATAATGTTTTTATATTAAAAATGTTGACGCTCTGAAATGCCTCTTAGTTTTGAGTTAGTAAGTCGAACTTTCGAGATATCATCTTGAAATTAGAGATATTAAGTCGAAAAAGTGTATTTATTTATTTTGCTGGGTGGCCCAAATGCTTTTCCCATAAAATAAGGTACAGTGTATAGCTTCAAAATTATTAAGCTAATCTCCATTATTCAGAAACGGTTCTTCAACCTACACCAGTAGATCAGGTTGTGGGCCAAGCATCGCTGAGATCATAGTCTATGCAGTCGATTTACTTCCTTCACATATCAATATTCTTCAGGGTTACTGCTACTGAATGACATTAACGATATTTTAAACATTTTGGTTTCGGTGTGATGTGGGGTGTTTTAATTGTTATGAACTATACGTGGCTATGGGTCCTTAAGAATCCATGTCATGCTGCTCCGCGGGTTTTAGTATACACAGTAACCTCCCCTTTGAATTCCTGTTCGATATAAATGTAACAAAGTTGTCCCAGGACACTTCTAATCCGTTGAAAAAGTAGTACACATTTTTGGGGTCCAGAATTCGCATTCCGGTCTAGTCTCACTGATCTTATACACCGTCATATAGACTAGTCTCACTGATCTTATACACCGTCATATAGACTAGTCTCACTGATCTTATACACCGTCATATAGACTAGTCTCACTGATCTTATACACCGTCATATAGACTAGTCTCACTGATCTTATACACCGTCATATAGACTAGTCTCACTGATCTTATACACCGTCATATAGACTAGTCTCACTGATCTTATACACCGTCATATAGACTAGTCTCACTGATCTTATACACCGTCATATAGACTAGTCTCACTGATCTTATACACCGTCATATAGACTAGTCTCACTGATCTTATACACCGTCATATAGACTAGTCTCACTGATCTTATACACCGTCATATAGACTAGTCTCACTGATCTTATACACCGTCATATAGACTAGTCTCACTGATCTTATACACCGTCATATAGACTAGTCTCACTGATCTTATACACCGTCATATAGACTAGTCTCACTGATCTTATACACCGTCATATAGACTAGTCTCACTGATCTTATACACCGTCATATAGACTAGTCTCACTGATCTTATACACCGTCATATAGACTAGTCTCACTGATCTTATACACCGTCATATAGACTAGTCTCACTGATCTTATACACCGTCATATAGACTAGTCTCACTGATCTTATACACCGTCATATAGACTAGTCTCACTGATCTTATACACCGTCATATAGACTAGTCTCACTGATCTTATACACCGTCATATAGACTAGTCTCACTGATCTTATACACCGTCATATAGACTAGTCTCACTGATCTTATACACCGTCATATAGACTAGTCTCACTGATCTTATACACCGTCATATAGACTAGTCTCACTGATCTTATACACCGTCATATAGACTAGTCTCACTGATCTTATACACCGTCATATAGACTAGTCTCACTGATCTTATACACCGTCATATAGACTAGTCTCACCGATCTTATACACCGTCATATAGACTAGTCGCACTGATCTTATACACCGTCATATAGACTAGTCTCACTGATCTTATACACCGTCATATAGACTAGTCTCACTGATCTTATACACCGTCATATAGACTAGTCTCACTGATCTTATACACCGTCATATAGACTAGTCTCACTGATCTTATACACCGTCATATAGACTAGTCTCACTGATCTTATACACCGTCATATAGACTAGTCTCACTGATCTTATACACCGTCATATAGACTAGTCTCACTGATCTTATACACCGTCATATAGACTAGTCTCACTGATCTTATACACCGTCATATAGACTAGTCTCACTGATCTTATACACCGTCATATAGACTAGTCTCACTGATCTTATACACCGTCATATAGACTAGTCTCACTGATCTTATACACCGTCATATAGACTAGTCTCACTGATCTTATACACCGTCATATAGACTAGTCTCACTGATCTTATACACCGTCATATAGACTAGTCTCACTGATCTTATACACCGTCATATAGACTAGTCTCACTGATCTTATACACCGTCATATAGACTAGTCTCACTGATCTTATACACCGTCATATAGACTAGTCTCACTGATCTTATACACCGTCATATAGACTAGTCTCACTGATCTTATACACCGTCATATAGACTAGTCTCACTGATCTTATACACCGTCATATAGACTAGTCTCACTGATCTTATACACCGTCATATAGACTAGTCTCACTGATCTTATACACCGTCATATAGACTAGTCTCACTGATCTTATACACCGTCATATAGACTAGTCTCACTGATCTTATACACCGTCATATAGACTAGTCTCACTGATCTTATACACCGTCATATAGACTAGTCTCACTGATCTTATACACCGTCATATAGACTAGTCTCACTGATCTTATACACCGTCATATAGACTAGTCTCACTGATCTTATACACCGTCATATAGACTAGTCTCACTGATCTTATACACCGTCATATAGACTAGTCTCACTGATCTTATACACCGTCATATAGACTAGTCTCACTGATCTTATACACCGTCATATAGACTAGTCTCACTGATCTTATACACCGTCATATAGACTAGTCTCACTGATCTTATACACCGTCATATAGACTAGTCTCACTGATCTTATACACCGTCATATAGACTAGTCTCACTGATCTTATACACCGTCATATAGACTAGTCTCACTGATCTTATACACCGTCATATAGACTAGTCTCACTGATCTTATACACCGTCATATAGACTAGTCTCACTGATCTTATACACCGTCATATAGACTAGTCTCACTGATCTTATACACCGTCATATAGACTAGTCTCACTGATCTTATACACCGTCATATAGACTAGTCTCACTGATCTTATACACCGTCATATAGACTAGTCTCACTGATCTTATACACCGTCATATAGACTAGTCTCACTGATCTTATACACCGTCATATAGACTAGTCTCACTGATCTTATACACCGTCATATAGACTAGTCTCACTGATCTTATACACCGTCATATAGACTAGTCTCACTGATCTTATACACCGTCATATAGACTAGTCTCACTGATCTTATACACCGTCATATAGACTAGTCTCACTGATCTTATACACCGTCATATAGACTAGTCTCACTGATCTTATACACCGTCATATAGACTAGTCTCACTGATCTTATACACCGTCATATAGACTAGTCTCACTGATCTTATACACCGTCATATAGACTAGTCTCACTGATCTTATACACCGTCATATAGACTAGTCTCACTGATCTTATACACCGTCATATAGACTAGTCTCACTGATCTTATACACCGTCATATAGACTAGTCTCACTGATCTTATACACCGTCATATAGACTAGTCTCACTGATCTTATACACCGTCATATAGACTAGTCTCACTGATCTTATACACCGTCATATAGACTAGTCTCACTGATCTTATACACCGTCATATAGACTAGTCTCACTGATCTTATACACCGTCATATAGACTAGTCTCACTGATCTTATACACCGTCATATAGACTAGTCTCACTGATCTTATACACCGTCATATAGACTAGTCTCACTGATCTTATACACCGTCATATAGACTAGTCTCACTGATCTTATACACCGTCATATAGACTAGTCTCACTGATCTTATACACCGTCATATAGACTAGTCTCACTGATCTTATACACCGTCATATAGACTAGTCTCACTGATCTTATACACCGTCATATAGACTAGTCTCACTGATCTTATACACCGTCATATAGACTAGTCTCACTGATCTTATACACCGTCATATAGACTAGTCTCACTGATCTTATACACCGTCATATAGACTAGTCTCACTGATCTTATACACCGTCATATAGACTAGTCTCACTGATCTTATACACCGTCATATAGACTAGTCTCACTGATCTTATACACCGTCATATAGACTAGTCTCACTGATCTTATACACCGTCATATAGACTAGTCTCACTGATCTTATACACCGTCATATAGACTAGTCTCACTGATCTTATACACCGTCATATAGACTAGTCTCACTGATCTTATACACCGTCATATAGACTAGTCTCACTGATCTTATACACCGTCATATAGACTAGTCTCACTGATCTTATACACCGTCATATAGACTAGTCTCACTGATCTTATACACCGTCATATAGACTAGTCTCACTGATCTTATACACCGTCATATAGACTAGTCTCACTGATCTTATACACCGTCATATAGACTAGTCTCACTGATCTTATACACCGTCATATAGACTAGTCTCACTGATCTTATACACCGTCATATAGACTAGTCTCACTGATCTTATACACCGTCATATAGACTAGTCTCACTGATCTTATACACCGTCATATAGACTAGTCTCACTGATCTTATACACCGTCATATAGACTAGTCTCACTGATCTTATACACCGTCATATAGACTAGTCTCACTGATCTTATACACCGTCATATAGACTAGTCTCACTGATCTTATACACCGTCATATAGACTAGTCTCACTGATCTTATACACCGTCATATAGACTAGTCTCACTGATCTTATACACCGTCATATAGACTAGTCTCACTGATCTTATACACCGTCATATAGACTAGTCTCACTGATCTTATACACCGTCATATAGACTAGTCTCACTGATCTTATACACCGTCATATAGACTAGTCTCACTGATCTTATACACCGTCATATAGACTAGTCTCACTGATCTTATACACCGTCATATAGACTAGTCTCACTGATCTTATACACCGTCATATAGACTAGTCTCACTGATCTTATACACCGTCATATAGACTAGTCTCACTGATCTTATACACCGTCATATAGACTAGTCTCACTGATCTTATACACCGTCATATAGACTAGTCTCACTGATCTTATACACCGTCATATAGACTAGTCTCACTGATCTTATACACCGTCATATA